CCTCCCAACTTTGTATCATCAGCAAACTTGCTGAGGGTGGCCACTATCCCCTCATCAAGGTCACTGATGAAGATGTTGAACAAGACCGGACCCAGCACCGACCCATGTTGGAACCACCGACCTATGTTGGAATAGTTTCCCAACTGTAACTTGCAGCTCTTTGAGAGCACAGGCTGAAATAATCCACAGTCAGAGGAACAGAGGGAGAATAAGAAATTAGCAAACACTTGACTATCAGTCCCTGGCACTACGAGCTCACAGGCTTAATGGGAAAAATCTTCCCTGCAGTAACAGTGTGGGAGGTAAACCAGTCCTAAGAGAGGTGGTCTAGTCCTTCCTACAGGTTTGTAGGATTCCATAGCTCATCCATGCAGCTAACTCATTCTAGATAGCCTTATAACAACTAACACATTGTTATTGTTGTATAACAACAATATCCATACAGAGTTTCCCACACTGTGGCATGATCCCATTGATTCTTGTCTTCACTTTTTGTCTAGTGGAAACGGAGGCTACTTCAGTTCCTTCCTTGTTTTGTTACATATTTCAGAGACTCCTTTGATTATGCATTGTGGGGCTAAGGGAGAAATTTTGTTTTGCTCCTCCTGAATTACCTCCTATTTCTGTTGGACTACTGTACCGTTATTTTTACAGGATGGTCTTGAACTCTCATGTTGATTTATGGTAGTCTTTCATTCTGGGACCAGCTATAAATATCAGGAGTCACTGGGGAAGATACTGTATAGCAGCTATCCTAAGGCTCACCTGTGTGGAGCACTGCACTCTCCATCAGCTTTCCTTTGACACTGAAACACTGACCAGCACAGCCTCACAGCCTGATGTTCACCAACCTCTCTGCAGTTTCATCTAGATCATGCTTCTCTACTTGCTACGGTGAGAGTATTATATAAAATGATGTGGATGCGTGGCATCTTTTGCAGCCTGTTATCCTGTCCCCGGGGAAAATGAGATTGGTGTAATGTGATTTGTTTCTGACAGCTGCAACTCAGCAGTTTCTTTTCTTCTTGCTGAACACAAATAATCTGATACCTTGAGGAAGAAAGATTCTCTTCACCAATGGGGAAGCATTCTCCTTGTGCTCTCTTTCTACACCTGTATTCTTAGATCAGCGCTGGACTTTCATGTTTATCTTATTTTATTTAGGCCTTAGCTGTTCTGTTTTTAAGCCAGGATGTTTGCAATTTTTTTATGCTCATCCTCTGTGATTTGAACTAGTTCTATTTTTTCTGTGCTTCCTTTTGGAGGTCAAGTCTTGAAGCAGCTCATTATTTTAATTAATCCTCTTCCTTTTTGACCTTGGGGTAGTGTGACATGTAAGCTTTTATTTTAATAGATACATCCACATATTTTCTCTCTTTCAAAGATACATTAATTTTATTCTCTTGCTGCTTTTCTGCCTTCATAATAAGTTCTGTGATTTTACAACATGGAGTCCTGGTTCTTCTCTGCACTATTAAACACCATGGGTTCAGTTTGTCAGTAGCCTACAAATCAACACCGATAATAAGGACCATTGAATTCTTACATCCCTCGAGGACATAAGAACAGCACATCCTTTGTGCTTTCAGTTTGAAAGCACTGCATATTGACATATTAACCCTGTCCTTAACACCGACACAGCCCTTTCACCAAAAAGGTATTCCCCCAGTGACTAAGCCAAGAACATACTGTAATATACTGTATAACTGTAGCTGGCAAATGGGAGCAACGTGGGTAAGAAAGCAAAGCTAACAAGTTTCCCTGCTGGCACCCTGCTCCACAGAGTGCGAATGATGGCAAATAGTTACCTGTGCAGCTGAGGCAAAGCAGCACAGAGCCAAGTTAAAGTGAAGACTGCACCTGTTTGCAGCATCTGAAGGAAAAGGAGGACAACGGGAAGAAGCCACACTGCCCGACGGTGACCCATCATTGCTATCCTGTGAGCTCACTTGGTGTCTCTCCCCGGTTTTCCTGCAGGGCTCTGGGGCAGCTGCTAAATAAGAAGCACTGCAGAGCAAAGGTCGTTAACTCAGGAGAAAACAAAACTGCTAGGGGCAAAGCGTGGGCTCAGAGTCACCAAGGACAATGTTAAAGCAGCAAAAGCCACTGTGTCACAGCAGTGCCACCCGGCAGCTTGTAGGTGCCCCGTGACAGCAGAGATCCACAAAGACACCAGGCTGGACGGTACTTTCACAAATGCATCAATTTCCACCTTCTTTTGGCCTTATATATATATTTATTGGCTACAGCTGATGACAGAGCCTTGTGGTCTGAGGCTTTGACCATTCTGGATAATTCTTCAGCTGAAAATGGATTCCATCTGGACCCAGCCTCTGAAGCAGTATGTTTCCCTGCCATGCTGGAGGATATCACAAAGGCCTTCTTGCCCACCTTCATTCCCTACAGCCCCATTGTGCTGCATTCTTTCTCATTTCTTAAGAAATTCCAGCATTTGAGACTTCACCCAGACGAAAACTGTTAGAGGCTTTTCCAGAACAGAGGTAGAAGGGTTTCCATGGGTTCCTCTTTGAATCCTCTTTGAATATTCCAAGGGTTTCCTCTTTGAATCTTCCTCTCTGCAAATGGGCTGGACTCTTTTCACCTTCACCACGGACATGAATATCTGATTAGTTTCTGCTTCTTTACATCAGGATGTTGTATTTTTTTCCCCACACACAGAAGCTGTTGCTGTGTTTCTGCTCAGACCTTCCCTATTTTCAATCTAAAGGAGCTTCACTTTTCTCATGAGATCCAGCACCTCATGTTCAAGAGGCTCTTTCCCAGATACTTCATCTTGGATTAGACCTGACAAATGCCCTAGCTTCTTGTTCATAGAATAGATTCATTGAATCACTTAGGTTGGAAAAGACCCTTAAGACCAAGCCCAATTGACCTGACACTACCAAATCCTACCACTAAACCATATCCCTAAGGTCTGTGTCTACATATCTCTAAAATACCTCCGGGGATGGGAACTCCACCACCTCCCTGGGCTGCGCATTCCAATGCCTGACCACCATTTCTGTGAAGAAATTCTTCCTGCCATTCAATCTAAACCTCCTCTTGGGCAATTTGAGGCCATTTCACCACATCCTGTCACCTGAGAAAAAGAGACTGACACCCTCATTACTGCAACCTCTATTCAGGTTGTTGTAGAGAGCAAGGAAGTCTCCCGTCAGCCTCCTCTTCTCCAGCTAGGCAACTCCAGTTCTAAAGGACCTCCATTCCAGATTCATTATATTATTCCTCTCTAAAGCTTCAATGTGATTGCACTCTGCTTGCCATCCTTCCTTTCTACCATTTCTACTCAGCACTGCCTTTTCCTTGCAGGCTGAGAAAGCCTGAGCACCTGAGGGTAGCTTTGAGCTTCCACTTCCACCATTTACCATTGAGCTCTTGCCTAAATCAGTAGTGATTGTTTGCCATGAGGAGTTCTTGCATTTTAAAATCCACCAGTTTGCACTGCTGCCGTGTGCTCTACCTCTTGCCTGACACTTACAGAATATGGAAGGAACATGGAAACCCTGTGCACTCTAGGCACCATACACAATTAAAGCTTGGTGAAAGATAAACTCTAATTGCAAAACCCAAGGACAGTCTCTTGTACAGTACAGAATAACGACACTTCCTCTCTTCCCAGCATCAGCCACCTTTACCAGCGGGAGGTCCTCTCCTCGGCCATCCCAACACTTATCTATAACACACATAGTCCAGTCCAAGAGTCACTTCAGGCTTCTCTGATGGAGAACGATGCCATTAGCACAAGTGCTTGTATGGAATTTGAATAGCACCTGTGCCTGAGCACTTCCCTCTGAAAAGGGATGTTCCACCCTGATGGTGTATAGGGTGAATGTGAGACAAAGGGTTAGAAAGTACAGTGGACAGAAAAATTCACGGAACTAACATTGCTGAACAAACATTTAAATAACCCTGCTGTGATTTTATACAGGTGGAGATCATCCATCTGGGGTAAACGACCTGCAGTTCTTCATGTCTGTGTTTTCTGCTGACTGCAGCAATACCCTGGTGCTGAGCAGAGCTGTCTTTCTACTTTTTTAACATGCCTTCCTCACTGCACCTGCTATACAAAACTAGCCAGTACCCATTCAAACCCTAAGAGATAAGTGGCAGGTGTCTGGCAAAGTTTAGTGTATCTCAGACAGCATAGGAGCATCATAGATCCGAGGAGCCTTGGAAAATCCATCAGGATTGATAGGAAACTAGACTCTATACTGCATATTAAAAAGCTTGAGGAAATTGGATTTGTTAAGCCAGGGAAAGTTGCATTTAGATCTTTCAACAAGAAAAATTCTAGGTGGATATGACTAATTTTTAGCTGTGAGAGTGCTAAAACACAGCAGCTTGTTGCCCAGAGGGGTAGCAACTCTGCCTTAAAAGCTTTCAAAACTTGACCAGAGCCTGCACAAACTGATTTCTCTTTGATGTTAGCCTTGCTTTAAGCACGGGGTTGGACCAGACAGCTTTCACCCATCCCGTCTACTGCAAATTATTCCATTATTTCTGTGATGAGAACTGCAGCTGAGAAGGTCTGAAGAAGAATCACAGAATCACAGAATCACAGAATCACCCGGGTTGGAAGGGACCTCAAGGATCATGTAGTTCCAACCCCCCTGCCTAGCAGGGCCACCAAACATACACATTTAGATCAGGTTGCCCAGGACCCCGTCCAACCTGGCCTTAAACACGTCCAAGGACGGGGCATCCACAACCTCCCTGGGCAGCCCGTTCCAGGGCCTAACCACTCTCCTTGTAAAGAACTTCCCCCTAACATCCAACCTAAATCTTCCCTCCTTCAACTTGGATCCAGAATGTATGCAGGAACAGCAATCCGTATACATAAAACCGAGTATTGAGCCACTGCTAATCATAAGGCAAGGGAAATGTGTCACGTATTTGTTTGGAGACATGCACTCTTTCTTTACTTCCAAATAAGACTCTCTCCTCATATATGTATGAACTGACCAGAGGGAATAAAAAAAGAACAAAAAAGAAATAATGTTTTATTTCAAATGCTGATGTATACTGATAATACATCTTACAGTAGCACCTGGAACAACTACACACAGAAGGACCTCTCCGATCCTTAGCCATGCACAATCCTATGATACAGGAAACAGTGTACATACATGTTATTTTTTTCTGAAGAAGCAGAAAATCAGTGTTCAAATTAAACTAGAGTGAAGTACAACCACATAAAGCAACACAACATTTTATTTAGCTGCTGTGACCTAAGTTGGAAGTTTTGTGGAACATGGCTATTTAGCAACATATACTGAATACTTACTTGTGTTTCAGCTTTGTCCAAAGAAGCTTCCCTTCTCCCTTCATCTTCTAAAGACAACCACAGGTAGAAGCTAAAAAGCTCTAGTGGGAATAAACTCCCTACTGACTGAGTGGGCTGCAGTAGGGGGACAGACTGAAATCCTGGCCTTCCCACTTCCATCACGTTATGTCCAGGAGTCTTTGGTGGAATCACTTGGGCAAACAGACAGGAACCAACATGACAATATGAAAATAACTAGTCAAGTAATCAGAAGACACCAATGAGCAGGCATTTTGTTTGGTGAAAGCCCCTTACTGTGCGAACTCAAAACAACACCAGCAGACCACATTTACATGCTTAAAGTCAACAAAATAAAAGAAGAAAGAGAAGCAGCACTGTAACTTCAAGAAACCAGCTTTCAAAACAAGTTTAGCAGATATGGCTAAAAAATAAAAAAAACATTTCCATTAGATAAACTGCACCTTGTTTCCTAATGGGAGGATTGAGAGCTACACCACTACTACTTTTGTCTCATGACTGTCCTTACCCAACGCAAGAATCTGGACAGTTTGGTATATATACCGTATTTGCCTTTCCTTGCACATCCTTCTCCCCAGCTAACAATTCCAGTAACAAAGTAAGTATCCTTATATCTGGTTACATGGGGGCCTCCACTGTCTCCTTGACAAGCATCCTTTTGCTCTGTTTCATAACCAGCGCAGAACATGTTTTCTGTTATTGCAAAATTAGTGGACTGCTTGCAAGTGCTCCTATCAACATAGGGGACTTCAAGCACTTTCAGTCTTTTGGAAAGCCGTCCAGCTTCAAATTCACGCCCAAAGCCACTAACCATCCCAGACTTTTGGTTCATCAGCACTTCATTAGCAAAGTCTGCTTGCGGGAGGCATGCTGGGACAACATACTCAGAAAACTGTATCGGTTCCTTCAGCTTTATGAGGGCTATGTCATTATCATAAGTCTCAGCGATGTACTTAGAGTGCACAAATATTTTTTCTGCAGTATGAGTCGTTTCAGAATGTTCTTCCTTTTCTCTGTCCACTTCACCTGTACGAGATAATTAAAAGGATCATTAATAGGATAAGATGACAGCAAACAAGAACAGCCTTGATAAAGGAGGACACTAGTATTCCCATTGCAACTGCTCTAAGTCTTCATACTGTACAAGTAAACTGCAATATTTATTAGCCTCACTTGGATGCAGTTTCAGCTCCAAGGTTTATGAAGTTTTCTGTACTAGTTTATGTAAATCAGAATAAATTCATAAAGCTAAACTAATGCAAATTTGGTGGATGTTTTACAGAAGCTTGAGCCTGGCCTATACTGGGGAAGAGCATCTACTCTGAATCAAAACTAAAAAAGTGCAAATACATAGTTGTGTTGATCTAGTATCATTTCTCAGAAGTGAAGCAGTGAGCTAATGTGAGATGAGATTTTCTTCTTCCTCTAGTCTGTGTGTCACAGCTTTCCTACGTGTTCCTGTAGAAAAAAGTTGGCATGTTTTTCAGAGCTGCAGGAAAAAAAATATGAGCTTTCTGTTGAAGCATTAATCTGATAAGCACAGTGCTCGCCAACACTTCTAGAACATTTGTTCTTAAACCCTTCCAGCTACCTGGCAAAGAAGAAATTATCACCATTATCACCTACTTCAGCTGCCCCAGTGATTACAAAGCAGGATTTCTGCAATAGGAAACATTACATAGCATACCACCAAAGCACCAAACCGGTAACAAACCAGTCGATATGATTACATCTTACATGGGTATTAGAGCACACAGAATCAGTCTGCAACACATCCTCACACATCACAAAAAAAAAAAACAAAAAACACAACAACTTACCAACAACAACTTTGATCTCCTTGGATTGGTTTATGCAATGAGCTGCAGTAAGGATGAAATCTTCATTCAATATAGTTCCACCACAAAACTCTTCCTCTTTCTCATTTATCAGCACAGCCTATGAGAGAAAAGAAATGGGAAGTGCATAATTTAAAAGAGCAGCTTAATCTCAGTGAGCTATAAACAGGTGATTTTTTTCTCTGCACACTGCATATGTGCACATTACAGGAACTTGTATGCAGAGCTCCATAGATTGTCCATAGTGCTGCATACACATGTGCATATGCTACAGATCAGCAGGTTCTTTTACAGAGTCTCAGCTGTTTTCCTGTGATACAGAAGTTCAGCTTTCTGACTTCATAGTGCCTCCTCTTAGTGACACCTGCTAGGAACAAGATGCAGGCTGACTTGCTGAGCAAAGAGCAAGGGCCTTGACTTACTATCCCATAGAATTTCTGCCCAAGATCTATTCCTGTTTGATCCCCCTAGTGTTTTGAAGACAGGGACAGATTTTGGCTGGTCTGAGCTCAAGAGGAAAAATTAGTTATGAAAGCAAATGCATGCTGTCAAGTATACTTCCTAAAGGACTGTCTTGGGGAACAGGGATGGAAGGCTGCAAGACAAAGGCACTGAGAATGTGACTGTATAGTTAGAGTACTCAAGCCACACTAAGAAAAAACAAGCATAATTCCCTGATAAGCAGTGGCTCTGGCTCTGCAGATAGCCTCTACAACACATGCACAATTTTACTGTATGATATTTACTTTTGCAACTAGAGGTTGATTCAGTTACGCTTAGGTAGTGCTGGCCAAGCCATTCGATCAGCAATCTGCTAAAAATGTTTAAGCTCTGTGCCCACGTTACCATGGGAACCTCCTCTTACCTGTGTCAGACCTACACAACACTACACCCATACAGAATTGGACTACCATGCTAATGGTCCCAGTGAATGAACAGATCAGTATGGAAAAGCACTCTGTGATACATCTCATTCTGAGAAACAGAGAAGGTAAGTCATCATTCCTTAGAAAGGTTGAGAAAGGAAATGCAAAGAAAGATGACAAAGAACAGCAGAAGCAGGTCAATTCTGTCAGAACAGCCCAGCTTAAGCACAGAACTGCAGTGCAACCTGTAAAGACAACATTGTTGAACCAGCATGTCTCAAAAACCCTCTCTGGTAACAGCTTAAAAGCAGCACTATCTAAAATGTCACAAAACCTTTCATTTTGATATCCTAAGGCTGCAATTTGCAGAAGAGCACACACAAATGCCTGAGTTCATGTAACTCAGCCAATTCCAACTACAAACAGCACACAGCAGAACACAAATTGACTAAATAAACAATTATGCAGTTTCCATCAAAATCACGTGCATCAGACTTACTTGCCATGGGCATTCACCAAGTTTACACTCATCCCCACCGACTATCCTGGTATCGACATTTGGATCTGTCATCCTCGATCTGTTGCGAGGAGGGGGAGTTGGGCTTTCTGTGGTAGTTGCAAAGTCCTCCTCCAGACTTGTTTCATTCATGGAGGGGACATCTTGATCACTAGTTGCATTGGTACTACTATTAGTGGGTAAAACGATAGACCTTTTAGTTCTTTTCACAAGAACTTTTCCACATGGGTACTTTACTGTAAAGACAAGAATGCTACAATTAGAGAAGAAGGACTGAAATATGCATGGAAGAGGAGACTCTTTGACAACACCATCTCACAGTTTATCAGTTAATGCAGCTGTTTTCAAGACTAACAAAACCCTGGCAGATGCAACAAAGGAGGAAAACCAGTTGTTTTGGCAGATGAAAGGCATTTGTGTGTCCTAAAACTTGTCTGTAAGTTCAGTCTCTGCACAGTGTTTTCAAAGTATTTAAAGTTATCTTCAGTTGTTTACATTGCCATACGCTTGTCGTAGCTCTTACTACAATCATCTTAATTAGAAAACTCAGTGTACTGCGTAAGAGAGACAGCCCAGGTTGTAAAGGATATAAAAAACAATGGCAGAATCATACAGTTGACTCACATTCCCCTCCCTCCCTTGATTTGTTGGAATACAATGAAAATGTACTTAAAATAGCATCAGTCTTAATTATTTAATGTCAGCTGTTACTATTTAACTAACTGAAATCAAAAGAAGTTTTTGCAAGTGGCTATTTTATACAGAATGTAAGATACAATTACAGTTTTCTCAACAACTACAAGAAACAACTACAATTTTCTCCTGTCAGTAGCACTTTATTTGCTCAGGTAGTTCTGTGAGAGGCACCCTGCAAAGGGTGCCTCAGCTTCATTCATAGAAGTTCATCACATCACCTCATGGAAGGCTTTGAAAATACAAACCAGTTGGCTTCAGTCTTAAAACTATGCCATGTAGAATATGATTCAAAACATATCCTTTAGCTGTGGAATAAGCCTCACCAGCATTAGTTTACCATGTGGCTTCGTACCTCTTGAAACACACTGCTTGCCATCTTCTGCCAGCTCATACCCACTTGTACAGGAACACATAACATCCTTCTGCAAACTTTTTTTGATGCTGCAGAACTGCTCACAGTCACCATTGTTTATTTTGCAGTACTTTGGTATGACTGTGAAAGACAGAAGATAGACAGACAGATTTAGAAGAAAAAAAAAAGACGATTCCTTGCAAGGCTTAAAAATCTCTGCATCGTCTTCTGAGATCTGCCTTCTTTGGTTCTTCATGCTGTGAGCTGATCAGGACTGTACTTCTGAGCTTGGAATCCAGGCTCTTTGATATCAGCAGTAAGAATCTTGTGGTTCTTAGATTTATTGTCATGCTTTGGGGATTTAAGCTCACGTAAAGAGGCACTGTGATAATTAAAAGTGCTTTCTTTGGAGCAAGCGTAGTGTTGGAGCACTCACTATCACTATCCAGATGCTGAGCCAGAAGGCTTTCCGTTTCTGACACGCTTCCATCTCATTGTTGACAGCCACCTATTCTATGCATTTTTCCAAGTGAAAAATAATGCTTGCTAAGGGATTGTTAAGTCTCTATGCTTCAGCAACCTGGCATATTCACTGCCACAATTCTCTGAAAGAGAAACCTACCAAATTCACAGTTCTTTCCTTGATAACCATCCAAACAGGAGCAGGTGTAGGAACCAAGTCCATCTTTACAATGTCCACCATAGTGACAAGGATTTGAGCTGCACTGGTCGCCATCTACAAAAACAAACCAAAAATCAAATTGTTGTTAGAGAAAATACATTTTCAATGAACTCCAAAGGGGGGTTAGTTTTGACAAGCAATCATTCTTTTAAGACATATGTCTTGTGAGTGGCCACGTTCCAGGCAGAGCAAGAGCAACTGCAATCATTCCAAATAAGCGTGATTCATATATACAGCCTCAGTTTTGCAATCTGTTTTTGGTGGCTACTGTTTGACAGTGTGTAGTTACAGCTTTTTTTTTCTAAGAAGACAAATTAATACTTGCTTGTCAAAGTGTACATTATTTACGGTGAAGACTGTAGAAGCAGACTGGACGTTTTCATGTTGCAACTACTGTCTAAAGCATTTCCATGCCATTTCCACATAATAATAACTCAACTATTAGTTATTTAAAGGTCATCTCATCCCATGTGCATGTGTTTTGCCCACAGCGTTGCTCTTTTAAAGCAACCAGTATATGAATCAGGAGATAAACAAAATAAAACACTGTAAAAGCTCTTCTAAATCCATGTTTGCAGGACAAATTCCTGTATTGTGCTGCCTGTGGTACCAAAAATGTCTCATTGTATCCACTGAGGTACGAGCGTCAGTATCAAAGAATTAGCTCTTACCTCACTCTCCCTGTATTTAAGCTGGGATCTCCGTATCTGAAACACAGTTCTACAGTCTCTCTTCCTTTCCATGACACAAGAACAACTGCCTGACTTGAACCCAGCCACACGTAGCTCACAAATAATACAGTCACAAGAAGGGAAATCAGGCTATGCTGCATTTAGAAACATGTGACACATAGCAGCCCCTTCTCCTACCTCCATGAAGGCATCTCACTCTTGCACTGATGCTTGCTACCACGTCTCTCCCACACAGCAACCCACGGTAACAAATGCATTCCTGCATCACGTGAACCTGCCAGGCCCTTCTGAATGATAAGAAAAGGAGGATATCTGGAGAACTGATGCTTGCTAATTCATTGCCTTAGAAACGCACATATTTCTGAATGTTACCACCTATTCTGCTCCATTTGGAGCAGCTGAAAGAACAGCAGTGCCCACAGAAGAGAGAAGATGCAGGATACTGCTCATTCTAAGGATCCAGTGTGTCATCTGCATGATGCCCTTGGCTGTGAACTCCTCTGCTGAAGTTGCATCTGTCACAGAGAACACCTGTGGGGCTTTGTTTGCACTGCCCCACAACTCTTCATCCCTTCTGTACCTGAACATGGCCGCAAACACCAGCATTCCAAATGCTGCATCCACGTGATCTACCACAGAGGTGTTGAAGACTGATGTTTATCCTCCATGGTAGAAAGGCAAGATCAGCATTTATTAAAACAAAGGCACACTGGAGGCCTGCAGCACAGCTCCTGGTTTCTGCCTCCTCTGCTGTACTGGAGGGCTCTGTTCTGTAGTGGACTCAGCTAAGCAGCATCCTACTGACAGAAACCATAGTTTCTTAATTTTCCCTGTACTGCAGTTGCTGCTGGAGAGCTGAGTTTTATACCAATATTGCACAAAAACATTGCAGTATCCCCTACTAAGAAAAGAAATGAGAATGAATTGTTCTAACTTGGCTGAGGGCAGCTGTGGTTTTCAGAACTTCTAAACACCAATAAGGCATGCGTGGACTGTGGTTTAGGATGTATGAAATTGGCATTTCCGCTGTGAGCACTGGCACTGATGTTCCAATGCCTGTATTCTCATGAGAAAATGGTTTGAAAATTTCCACTTCTGTTCACTGCAGCACTGATGCAGGCTTTGTTGGCAATTTCACCCCATAGGATGAAGAATTCTTCCCTCCCTTAGAGGATTGTGAAAGCCTGCATCTTTTTCGTGACCACTGTCTTCCATTTTCTTCAGACTCAGAAGACAAAGCTGAGCAATCTCTGGTTAACATTTTTGAGGTACTCTTCCTAACATGAAGGCTAGACACATACTTCAGGAGAACATGTTACCAATCAATAATACATTAAGAATATGTCCCTGTGAGCTTATTATGAACAACAGAACCCTAATAAGTACAAGTTAAACCTCCAGAAAAACAAAACCAGAGAAAACTGACTGGCAGTATCTGCTAACCCGCTGGTATGTCATCCTTGAATGCAAAACAGCTCTGTAGAAAACAATTCCCACCAAATCTCTGTCTTACAGGAATCAGCAACACTGTGGCATGGGCAGTGGCATGCAAACAGTAAGTGACTGTGCAGCACAGACTGATATGTTGCATCACCTGATGTAGTGAAGTGCCACCCCCATCTATGACTCTTTGCAACTTGGACTCCTCCATCTTGGGCTGACCCTCTGCAGGATGATGAGTGGGCAGAGCTAAATGCCCAGCTTCTGCTTCTCACTACCCTTGGCACGCAAAGGGCCAGTATTCTTTTTTGAGAGGACAAAGATCATCCCAGGAACTGGAGGCTGCTGAATCTTGGTGTCAAATAAAGTGATTGGGTTCGAGAAACTGCAAGGCTGTAAATCAATCAGATTCCTCTTTCAGGGGAAACAGTGAAAAGAATAAACAAGGCAGCAGGAAGTGGTTATGTAAGAGGTGCTTCCTTTTTAACCTTGCGAAAAGGAAGCTTAATTTTCTAAACAAATGCAGACTCTTTCTTACCTACATAGATATTCCAGAATTCCTCCTACGGGTTGGTTTGGGGCAAACGAAAACAAAAGAAAACAAAAAGAGTTAAATGAGAATTACCAAATTCAGTTCTTCAGAAGAATATCAGAGCTTTCGTACAGAGAATACCTGAAGCTAACAATTGTTGAAACAAAAATTTAATTTACAGGCAAACAGTGGCTTGCTGTCTGATATTGTCATGTAATTAATTTAAACCACCTGGTTAAAACCATCTATAGTGCTCAGATCAAGAGAAACAGGCCTTACACGCTTTTCAAAAATACCTGAACCTCCATAGAGATTTCTTAATGTCACTCACTCAGCATAAGGCTCTTCATTTCTTGCATAACTGTCTCTTGCCCTCGGTTTTGATTGAACTTCCTTACCCTCCTGCAATGTCAAATTTTCAGCTTCCTTCCCCTGTACCCCTATGGAGCAGGACCTCAGAAATCCTAAGGTTTAAAAGTATTTTGTCTGACTGGTGTTTTTCTGTCCCTCTCACTGAGGACTCTGGGTACGCTGTCTGCCCAAGACGGTCCCTTCCAGCCAGGTCTGGTCACCAGGTAGAACAGGCTGTGCTAGTTCTGCTATGGTTCAACCCTTATACTTTGAAGTGCCCTGGCGATGCACCCACGACTCCCCACCCAGTTCACCTCAGGGCCACTCTAAAAACATTCTGGCCAGCAAATAACACTACAGTTAAATGAATCTGGCCTTGATTCCAGTTTCAGAGCTGTTCCACATACAGCCAATGTTCCCAGTTTCCCTCCACCACAAAGTCACTTATGTTTTCATATATTACTACTGATTCTAGTTCCCGTACTTTCCCCAACTCTGTAGCTTTAGCTTGGGCACTGACTGTACTTCAAGCTAAAGTTAATCACCTCCAGGGTAGGGAAGGTGACAAAAAAGTCACACACACAGACTTCATTCCATGTGTGCAATTTAACATAAAGAACTATCCTCTGTACACGTTCTGTCAATTTAAATGTGGAAAAGACAGCCACAAAATGATATAAGCCCTGTAAAACTTCTTGGGATAAATATGGAAAAATATTCACATGAAGTTCCATGTCAGTATTTGCCATCTCAACCTTCCATGGGCTCTCTATCTAAGAACTCTTGAACATAGTCACACTGCTCAGCTACACCACAAGAGAAAATAGCTTTAACGTAGGGAGTACCAAATTATTTAAAGGTCAAATACCTCATGATGAATTAAGCAGATCAGAACAGGTAAAAGAAAGGAGTCTTTAACATGGGGTGACCTTGCAAGAGATAAATGATGTCTGTTTTTGTACATGTATGCCTTAGCAATTCCAGCCAAAATCAAAATCACCACCTATTCTTTGTGGTAAGTGATCTACAATAACACTTGTAAGTCTTGGCTCATAATACATCAATACTATTTTGTAAACACAAAATATGTAGGCCTATGTTCCATATTAGTTCATCCTTACAGTTTTCTCGTTGTCTTCAAAGGCTTCTCTTGCTTCTTCTTTTGAGCAGCGCTCCTCATTGCATTCTCTTTCAATATTGCCTTGCTTCATTTCTTCTAAAAAACTGTTGGCACGTTTTGTCCTTTCCAAGAACTTGTCGGCACTTTCTTTCTTGATGAACACTAGACAGTAGAGAAAATGGTACAATTACAGGGCAACATTTGGTGGCGGTAACAAGTCATCAGAAATAAGTGAAGAAAGAAAAACAAATCAGACATTCTCAGCACCCTCCCATAGGCAACATCACTTGTAATATTAGCCCTCAAGCAGCTGGGATCTCAGGATCTCTGTGAGATCAGTAACTCCAAGACAAGCCAGAGGCATGCAAAATTCTGTCCGCTGTTGTTAGTCTTGAGAATAAAATGTGCAGGTTCCTGCCGAAGGTTTATATTTCTGCTGCTCCTGCTCTAGATTCCAGCTTTGAACAGAATGACTTGCCTTGCCACAGTGATGGTGTGGGAGGCTGCAGCCCCTGATTTGGTTTTAAAGCTGGCAACCAGGCAACACCACTGGCTGCTCTGGAGACATATGGTCCAGCAAACAAACACCACACAAACAGAAGATGCAGTAATTTGCCAGCATTGGGTTCCACTGGCAGGTGGGAACAGCTGTTCCACAGTCCCACTTTCAAAAAAGAAACAGCCCATGTGTGAGATCTACTGCCCTGCACTACCCCAAGCCCCAGTGTACTGCCCTTGGGTCTTTCTTCACACTTAACAACTGTCTTTCATAGTCTGTGCTGGTTCTGTCTTACTTCTTACACTTCTAAGTTTCCAAGTACAGCCAAGGCAGCTGTATTCAAAGATTTAATAAAGAGCAGATGCAAATGAATGTCACCTTCAGCATCTAAAGAAAGTACAGCTTGAGTTCAAGTTGCTGGGTCATTTTATTTTTTAAAAGTTTGATGTCGCAGAGCACAGGACCTGCTGCCTTGAAGTTCAAGATGCAGGTAGCTGATGATTTAATGGAAGGATCAGAGGCGTTAAGCCACTTGGCTGCATGAGCCATCGTGACACTCTGCAGTAACTTGTGCACGTATTAACTGACAGGAACAACAGAAGCAACACTGTAGTAAGTAGATTGCCAATTACCTTGTAAAAAGTAAATGTTTTAGGAAAGCTTGTGGATTCTGAAAACTAGCATTCTAAAAACCTGAAACCTACAGAGGAAAAAGTACTTTCCAATCACAGAGTGGAAGGCAGCACTGCAGATGGGACTTGAAAGGCAATGGAATCAGTTTGCATTGACCTTAAGCAGCCCAATGCAGCAATATGTGAATTATCTGATCAGTACTAATACTTTTTGATAACAGAGCCAAATTTTGCAAGTGCTGTTCATACTGAGCAGCAGCACAGAGCCTATGTGTGTGTGGAACTGTGGTGTTCCACTTGCTCTGAGAAGTCTATGTGCAGGAGGGCTACAGCAATGCTTGTAACTTCTAGCTCAGTAACAGTCAGTTCATTCACCCATGCCTCTTTTGTCCTTAAGTCCCTCTCTGCAGTGCAGGACGTGAAAGGATGCAGCCGGTGGGGTCACTGGACTCCTTTGCCTCCACATCACTGCTGCATGAGGATGTTTTTGTAAACTTGAACCAGCCGATAAGCATTCTCAGCCTCGAGCTTCCTGCCGTCCTGCCTTCTTCAAAAACACGAAGGAGCTCAGGGTGTTGGTTGCTCAAGTAGGACACTCCAGCAGCTGGCTGTGGAAGGACTTCACTGTAAAACCCAAGCAGGCTGACTCACTGAAAGAAGAGTCAAAGCCTTCAGAGAAGCCGCCCGGTGTGGCTTTCTGCTCTGACTTTGATATTGACCCTCGCAGCAGAAACAGAGGCAGGACGCGCTCACCCCTAAGCTCCAGCCCGCGGCCAGGGGCAGCCGGCAGAGCACAAGAACGAGAGCTCGCCGCGCTCGGAAGGCAGCCGCGCTCCCGGCGACGGCAGCCCCGTTCTACAGGGAAGACCCCCCGGGGCTAAATCCCAGCGGCCATCTCGCAGCACCCCAGTTGCCCCCCGGCCGCTCCCCGCCCCGAGGCGCTGCTTTGCCCTCCGGCAGGACTCAGGCTGCCTCTTCTTGGGGGTGACAGCCCGGTCTGCCCGCTCCTGGAGGCCGCAGCCCCCGCTCCTCTCACGCACCGCCCGCGTGCGGGAGGCACTTTCCAATGCGGGCGCTTCAACAGCAGCTCCCTAAAAGCTTTGAGGAGGGCACCCCCTCCTCGGCGCGGACGCCCCGCAGAGCCGCCCCTTACCGCCTCCTTCAGCCCGGAGCTCGTCCGGCAGCGCCGCGCAGAGCAGCAGGAGCAGCAGGCGGCCGGCCATAGTGGCGCGGGATGGGCACCGCGACGGGACGGGACGGGACGGAGCCTTCACCGGGCGGGCAGGGACTGCGGCGGCGTTGCTTCACCCTGCCCAGAAATAGCGGAAGCGCCCTGGAAGGGGGAAAGCCTCTGTGGGATTTCTCAGCCGGGGGGGTGGCCCGATTATGTGTCGCCTCTTTTTTTCTTTTTTTTTTTTTTTTTTTTTTTTTTTTTAAAGGAAGAGGTTGGGAACGAATCGTCAGCTTATTGAGCAAGTGCTGGCCGAGGCTGACCTCACCCAACGTGGTGCTGGCAGGTGTGGGGCTTGGCGTGATGCTGAGGGGTGCCCCATGGCAGCCCCACTCCCTGCCGCCGCCACACTCCATGCTTCACACAGTGTTGCTCAATGCTGGCTCCGTTGGCTTTGCCACCCTGTGGCCCCATGGCCTGTGTCATCCAATCCTCACCCAAGGAGATGGTCACCAAAACTGGCCTCTGTCTCCCTATTTTTTGGGGTTTCCCAGTGCCAGGGCCTGGTGAGGTCTCCTTGCTGCCACAGTGTGCTTCCCATTGGTTGTATGAGCTTTAACAAGACCCACTTGCACTTGGGTCACAACAACCTCAGGTATTGCTACAGGCTTGGGACAGAGTGGCTGGAAAGCTGTGTGGAGGAAAAGGACCTGGAGGTGGTGGTTGACAGCCAGATAAACATGAGCCAGCAGTTTGCCAAGGTAGCCAAGAAGATCAGTGGCATCCTGGCTTGTACCAGAGTTAGTGTTGCCAGCAGGAGCAGGGAAGTGATTGTTTCTCTGTACCCTGCTCTGGTGTGGTCACACCTTGAGTACTGTGTTCAGTTTTGGGCCTCTCACTACAAGAAAGACATTGAGGCTGTGAAACATGTTCAGAGAAAGGCAATGAAGCTGTGATGAGCCTGGATCACAAATTTTACGAGGAGCGGCTGAGAGAACTGGGGTTGTTCAGTTTGAAGAAGAGGAGGCTCAGGGAACATCTTATTGCTCTCTGAAACTACGTGAAGGGAGGTTGAAGTGAGGTAGGGTTTGGTCTCTACTCCCAGGTAACAGCAATAGGACTAGATGGAATGGCCACAGGTTGCACCAGGGGAGGTTCCTGTTGGATGTTAGGAAAAACTTATTTTCAGAAAGAGCAGTGATGAACTGGCACAGGCTGCCCAGGGAGGGGATGAAGTCATCATCGCATCGGAGGTGTTAAAGAACTGTGTGCACGTGGCACTGAGGGACATGGATAGTGGACATGGTGGAGATGGGTTGGGGTTGCACTAGATGATCCCAGAGGTCTTTCCAACCTTAATGATTCTATGATTCTGTGATTGTTTACATAGGCTGTTATGTTAAAAATATGCATAATCTTGGCTTTATTATGTGAAAGTCGTGCCACGCTGCCATTAATACTGGCTGGATGTTTTGTCTGCGTTTTGCCCTTTTTCTGCGGGGTGACTTGTTCATAAATATCAATATTTACAGTAGAGAAGTCACCCAGTGGAGCCTGTAAAATCAACAGCTATTCAGTTTGAGGGGTCTAGGGGGATGATGTTGCAATGCCAGGTGCCTCACCTTGGTGAAAATGAGACTTCATTTGCTGGCTGCTGCCCCCACTCACCTTTCTCCCTGGGAATTTTCCTCATTTTTTAAAAAATATTATTTGTTTTGCGTGCTGCTTCTGCTGGTATAAATGCTTTCCTTTTTTTTTTTCCTCTCACTCACAGTGGGTCTTGTTATGTCTTGTTATTTCTTTAGGTATAACCAGAACCTCCAAGGCATGCTTTCATACTTGTTTCCTAGGTCTCTGGAATTTGCAGCTTCTCTCATCCCCCCATTCCTCTGTCAGTAACACAGATTTTGGGATGTTTGGTATTACATGTACTGTATAATGCCAGTGTTCTCCCCTGATACTAGAGCACAGTAAGTGTCCTACTTGCTGATAAGTCTTTGTGATTAATCTGATATTCAGCATAATTTGAAATAATCCAAATTTTACAGAAAGGCAAATATGGGATTAGCTCTGTGGCATTCTTCATCAATCATAAATGTATTGTTAATAGCCTTACTGCAATAATATTTAGTGCAGGAAGACTAAAATCAACTTCTCATAGCAGACTTGTAAATGTGGAATTAATCTTTTCCCAGCTTTCTTGTCCTGAGGATGCTCTTGTCCTGAGGATGCCTGTAATTCCTCTCTCTTAAATTCACCTGTTGGGACTGCAAGAGAAAGTTCCCTCACCATAAGCTAAAAGAAACACCATTTCTCTTTCTCCTGCTGTTGCTTCATTATATTGCAGGACCTATCAGCACAGGAAGTTGTGAAAGCCCAAAGTGTAAATGTGTTTGAAAGAGATTGCACATGTGTATGGCAAATGGGGTCATTCATAATCATTCAGACTCATGTGACTTCTTGCTCAGGAAGTCTGTACATCATTGATTACCAGCAGCCACAATGGCAGCACATGGAAGGATCGCGGTGTACTCGACACAGTACTGACAGCGTTTCTCAGCACCAAGCTTTTCTGTTACTAGATAATGGGTGAAGAATGAGGGACTCTGAGTCTGGTTTGATAGGGCCTTTCTGTGGCCTCTTGACAAGACACTGAAGTTTACAACAATATCAGAGTTATTTTATGTATTCAGGCAGGCATTAGGCTCATTGAAAATTGTGAACAATATCACATTTACCACGTGTCTAAGTTAATGGAGGAATGCTTCAGTACAAAAATGCCACAGAGGAATGAAGGAAGGGAAATGCTGTGGTTCACTGCTGTCATTCCATGTACCTCTTCAACCAGTCGATGTATCTGGATACCCTTGTGTAAACCCCATAGCTGCCTTCAACAGCACAACCCTTTCCCCAGCTGACAATCCCAGTCAGAAACCAGGTGTTCTTGTACTTTGTGGCATGAGGTCCACCACTGTCTCCTTTGCAGGAATCCTTTTTGCCAGTCAGGTCTCCTGCACAGAACATATTCTCAGTGATGTTTAAATTGGCCTGCTTTTCACATTCTTGTGTCTTTACACGCGGCAAATCAACTCGCATCAGAAAAGTAGAAGTAGCCCCTCCATCTAGTAGCCGTCCCCATCCGCTCACCGTTGAGAACTTAATGGAGGACAGCTCGTACATGGCAAACCGTTTTTCAGGCAAACATATTGGCACCACGAAATCGGTGAGATTCACGGGTGTTTCCAGCTTCAGGAGGGCAATGTCATGATTGACTTGTCCATTGGTGTATTCTTCGTGTCTGATGATCTTGCTAACTCCACTTTCTTGCTCAGTTTTCTCGTCAACTTTTATTGAGTATTCACCTGGAAAAGTTAATGGTTGCAGGTCATGTTGGCCAGAAACTGGATTCCTTGGGAGTTTGTGGATACAGGAGATTTCTAGTCTGACACTTTTTGTTTTTCACACCTTGTCAGAAGGAGAAATTAAGACAACCACAGCTTGATAGCATGGGAAAGGGAGATACATACCCAGCCTCACCCGGAGCTGTTTGGAATGAGTGTAGTCCAGGCAATGAGCTGCAGTCACCACCCATTCTGGCGAGAGCAGACTACCACCACACTTCCCTTTCTGATCCTGTATTATAAGGGCCTGCCAACAGAAAGAAAGTTTTTGACCTGAATCTCAGTAGAGTCCAGTTTTATATTGCTTCTTTCTGTCATTGTACGCAGCTGTCTTTGAGAATATTATTCTGATTTTGCAGAGAGTTTAGGAGGGAGGAGTTTTCACATCAACATTTTCTCCACTTTTTAGCATAGATCCTGTGTATTTTGGCCAAGAGTGTATCCATAGGTAAAATTCTTAGCAGTATGGTTAATGATGAAGGGATCAGGAGGCAGAGGAGGTTATGTTACCACTCGACTACTAGGAAAGCAGGCATTCAGAACAAGGCTGAGATCCGTGATTGAAACAGGTGGAGCTGCTGGGTAATGGATGGTTTGCCCAAACCTTACACTTTCAGTGCATTTTAACATTCAAAATACTGAATATAAGATAATAGCTTCACAAGAAAAACAGCAATGACCACAGTGAATATTTGTGGAAGACTCACTTGCCATGGACATTCACCTGGAGGACAGGTGACACCACCTACTATTCTCCCCTGAGCAGTTGCATTCTTTTTTGCCAGCACTGGTATTTTTCCACAAGGGTATTTCACTGAAAAAAAAAAAAGAAAAGATAACAAGTGTGATTTCACTGCACTGAATTCACAGCAAACTGTCTCTGACTGATTTTTCTAAACATCTTCAATGGAGTTCTATTAGCTGAAAAACAGGTTCATAGTGTGGGAGCACGGTCTCTCAGAATTCACCCAGAGCTGCTCAACAGGCAGGCTTTTTTTATTTTTGTCTGCAAACAGCCAGATATGGTTTTACATTGACTTATCCATATACCACCACTGTGTCTTCTGCTATATCTCTAACTTTGCTTCTGTTCAGGTCATCTTTAATTCTTCCAAGCTGCACTTATCAGTCAGAGGTCCTTTTATAGCCTGAGCATGCGCATGAATATTGGCAGTAGAGTCTTGAGGACCAAACCTGCTTCTGAGCTACGGTGCAGAGGAAACTGTGGTGTTTTGTATACATCCTTCACACAACAGATGCAAAGAGCCTGTTGCCGGAAGTGGGGTGCCAGCTGTGCTGTAACTGAATATACCATCCCTCCCATCCAGCAATCGTTCTGCAGTAGCACTGTGATGAGAAGTGCTCTCTGTCGTTTTGGGATCCACGGTTCTGAATTGAATCCATCTCCATGATTTTGCAGCAGCCTCTAAGGATGGGGCACCACAGCTTCTTTGGGCAGCAGTGCCAGCACCTCACCACCATCTGAGTGAAGAGTTTCTTCCTACCATCTGATCTAATATTCCCCTCTTTCTGTTTAAAACCACTCCCCCTTGTCCTACCACTGTCTGCCCATGTAACAAGTTGGTCCCCCTCTGTTTATAATCTTCCATTAAGTACTGGAAGGCCTCAAAAAAGTCTTCTCACAGCTGAACAAGCCCAGTTCCTCATGCTTTCCTTACAGGAGAGAGGCTCAGCACTCTGGCCATCCTCATTGCCTCCTTTGGACCTGCTCCAACAGCTCCACATCCCTCCTGTGCTGGGGGCCCCAGACCTGGATGCAGTACTGCAGGTGA